GGCTGATGGAGGCTTTGAAGAAGTGATCGCCGCCAAGCAGGGGCTGAGCTGCGAGGGGTCACATGTCACTGCTTCCGCCGTGCGAGTTTCACCTGAAAATAGCAGCAGCACCAGCGCCGCTGCGCAGAAGGAAACAAAGGAAAACCTCTTCATATTTTTCCTACACAAAATAGTAAAACTTGTGAAAAAATAATAATAAAGTCGATTTGTATTTGGTGCATTTTGGGCATGAGCTGCGACACAATTTATAGGAGTTGGGATGGTAATTATTGTTGTTTCTTTAGCCCATGATTGACGGTGTCAAACTTTCATGACTCACGAGTCAATGAGTCAAGTCTTTTGGTGGTCTAAAAGGTCCTTTGGGGAATTGAAGAAGGTAGATCTGCAAATACCACCTTCGCACAATTGGATTTTACGCTTACATTTAATGTAGAAAAATTTCGGTATAGCTCTGCTGTACTTCCAATTGAAGCATACCATTTATGATTATTATAATATAATATAATTAATTAATTAATTTTTCAAATTAAGTGATTTTCATCAAAACTTTATATAAAACTTACATTTATGAATAGTGAATTCTTATATGATTTTTTATTTGTTGTAATTAGATAATTGTAAAATTATAATAAATAATTATAAGTGAAATATTTTCACTTTAAAAAAAAAACTAAGTGGAAAAACAAATGTTGACATGGAGTAATATTATTGATTAAGCATATAGCTGACTTGGTAGGAGTAACCTATGTAATAATTTATCATAGTAGGAATAACTTATGTAATACTTTATCTTAATTTTGATTCAATTTTAAAATAACTATAGATGAAAATTTTGTGAAATATCTTTAGAATCTTTCTTTGCTTTCTTACCAGATAGTGTTTTTGTTATCTGTTAACTTTAAATATTTGACCCAAATTAAATGTGTAGGTTTATTATTGCATATTCTTTTTAAGTAATTTTGTTCCATCATCTTAACTTTTACCTAAAAATATTGGGATAAATTTGGACTTTAGCCCAAAAGATTTTTCTTTTTTTTGCTTTTTATCGTTGACCTACTTTTCTTTTTTTTCTTCTTCTTCTTCTTCTTCCTATTAAATTAGTATTATCTTTAATCAACATTAGTTCACCCGTTGATTTTTCCTTCAAATTCCCTTCTTTGTTATTGAAAGTTAGGTTAAGATTGTAAAAACTTCAAGGCCGGATAGAAAATAGAAAGATAAAAATTGGAAGAGAAGAAAAGTAGAAAGATGAAAAACATTTTTTTTTTCCTTTCCATTGATATGTATTGTGCTTCATTGGAAAAAAAAAAAGTATTTTATTTGTATCCATTGTTTGGTAGAATTAATGAAAAATGAAAGGAAAGAACATAAAAATTATATTAGTTTACTATTATAACCTTTTATAAATTAAGATAGAAAGTAAAAAATCTTAATATTATAGGCAATCTTTTAAATATACAACATATACTCACACCTTTCCTATTTTCTCTCTTCTTTTCTTTTTGATTTAGAATGATTTGTATTTGTGAATAAGTGTGAAATTTAACACCTTTCCTATTTTGTTTTCTCACTTTTCTTTCATACAAACCACATTCACAATTCATTTTCTTTCTATATTTCCATTCCCTCTATTCATCCTTTTACTTTTAAATATACTCACACCTTTCCCATTTTCTCTCTTTTTTTCTTTTTGATTTAGAGTGATTTGTATTTTTGTGTGAAAATTTGACATATTACCTCTATTTAAGGGTGCTTTGTTTATGTTTCTCAAAGTCGTTGAGTCTCTGCTTAGAGAAGCTTTGATAAATTTTTTTTAAAAAAAAAAAAAAGCAAAAAAACAAAAAAGTTGCCTCTATTTAGAGGAGCTTTGATCAAAATTTAAAAAAATGGGCAAAAAAAAAATCCAATTAAGTCTTGAATGGGTGTCTACATCTTTGCACAATTTTTGTTTCACAAAAAAATGTGCAAAGAGAAGCAGCTGTAGACACCCCATTTTGTCTAGAATCCTTTGTCATTTGAAACTAATCCTAGCTCAATTGCAGGGATTTTTATTCATTTTTGTTTTAGATTTTTTTTATTTCATATTTATCAATTTTATTTTTATTTTTATGATTTATTTTCTTTTTTTTCTTTTGATTATCTGATAAAAAAAAAAGGCTGAAAGCTTGGTGATTGTGATGATTGTTATCTAGATGCTAATCTTTAGCATTAGATGACTAATTGGAATTGAATTGAAACTCTATCAGCATGGGTCTATATATCAATAATGAATATACAAGCTGGAAGGGGGGGGAGAAAAGATAGAAGAAGGATCCGAATAGGAGATAAGAAGAATCCGAATAGGAGAAGAAAAAAAATAGAGGAAAAAGATGAGTCTGCACCCAGTTTGCATACCAAGAGTCGTTGCGTGTTGGGGCAGTATTTCCCCCAAGATCTGAGAGTTTTGCACCCGTACTTACTCCTCAAACACAACCTTTGTCTTCTTATCCCCCAAAATATTCACAATTCTGATCGGCACGAGACAGCTGAGTCTTCTACGGTGCCTGAGTTCCCAACCCTCAGTTTGACAGAAATTCAGAATGCACGGGGTATTATGGATGTTCTTTCAGAAATGCTAAATGCATTAGACCCTGGAAACAAGGAGGGACTTAGGCAGGAGGTGATTGTTGACCTAGTGGGGCAGTGCCGTACCTACAAATAAAGAGTTGTACACCTTGTTAATTCAACATCGGATGAGTCACTTCTATGTCAAGGTTTAGCATTGAATGATGATTTGCAGCATGTACTAACAAAGCATGAAGCAATAGCTTCAGGGAGTTCTTCTCAAGCAGACAAACCTAAGCCTGAACCTGCAAGAGAACTTGTGAATGTCAATGGCCCCCTAGTTGATACCGGGGATAGCAGTAAGCAGTCTGATAGGAGATCCTCCACTAGAACTGGTGCAAGTTCTCAACCATTTAATCAGTTATTGCTTCCTACTCCTCCAGCAACAAAGGGTTCAACTCCTCCAGCAGCAATCAATCCCAAAATAGACCTGCTTAGTGGTGATGACTACAATTCACCGAAGGCAGATAATTCACTGGCCCTTGTTCCTTTGGGAGAACCACAATAAACAACTCCTGCATCACAACAGAATGCCCTTGTTCTCTTTGATATGTTCTTTGATAGTAACAACACCTCTGATTCTGTTAACACCCAGTTTTTGGGTTTAGATGGACAAACCAATCCTTGGACTCCTCAAATTCAGCAGCAGCAGCAGGATTTTCATGCAAATGGAACTACACCAAACATGGGATCACCTCAATATGAGCAGTCATATGCTCAAGGCACAGGTCCTGCCTGGAGTGGTCAGTTGGTTCCACAACAGCAGCCCTCCTCACCTGTCTATAGTGCCCAGAGTAGTGGCTCGCTACCACCACCACCCTGGGAAACACAGGCAGCAGATTCTAGCCCAGTTACAGGTGCTCAATATCCTCAGTCAGTGGTTACTCAAGTTAGTGTAACACATGGCCAACCTTAAGGACCTCAACATATGAGAAGTGATCAGGTGGTGGGTATGTACGTTCAGCCAATCACAACCGGTCATTTGTCAGCAATTAATAACGAGGCTGTTCAGGGAAACCGATTTGCTGGTTTTCATCCTCAACCAGTTTTGGGAGCACAGTATATGGGCATACTTCCACAGCAAATGGCTCATATGTATCCTCAACAAATGTATGGCAACCAAATGGGAGCATATGGTTATAGTCAGCAACAATATCTTGATCAGCAAATGTATGGGCTCTCCATCAGAGATGACAATGTCCTGAGAAACTCTTCCTACCAGGTTTCAACTTCGTCTTACATACCACCGAGCAAGCCTTCAAAACCAGAGGATAAGCTGCTTGGAGACCTTGTTGACATGGCAAACCAGTAAATTTCAGATGTGGTGATGAACACAAACTAGTTGGTTTTTCAGCAACACATCAAGCCATTATTTCCTTCGTGGAAAATGGAGGAGATCGTGTCAAATTGGTGAAGGCTATGGACAATCTAGTGGAACCGCGTCGAATTCCTCAAGTCAAGATAATTTTTTTTTTGGTATTTTATTTATTTATTTATTTGTTTTTTTGTGTTAGTTATTTTCATGAGTATTTTTTTTTTTGCAAAAAAATAAAAATTTTCAAAAAGAAATATTTTTGAGGAAAAGTTGAAAGTATCAATTTTTCTTAAAAATAAATTTTCGAAAAAGTTTTTGAGGAAAAATTGAAAGTATCAATTTTCCTTAAAAATAAATTTTCAAAAAAAGTTTTTGAGAGAAAGTTGAAAGTATCAATTTTCCTCGAAAATAAAAGTTTTCAAAAAATATTTTTGGGGAAAAGCTGAAAGTATCAATTTTTCTTGAAAATAAATTTTTAAAAAATAAATTTTTGAGGAAAAGTTGAAAGTATCAATTTTCCTCGAAATTAAAGTTTCAAAATGATATTTTTTGAGAAAAGTTGAAAGTATCAATTTTTCCTGCACAAAAACAATCATTTTTTTCTTTCTTTTTATTTTTTAAATGTTAAATAATCCAACGATGGAGCTTCTGCAAGTGAAACAGTAGTTTTCTTGCATACTCCTGAGGTGGGGGGATTTTCTCAATTTTTTGCTAAAAGTATTAGAGTCAATTGAGAATAATTTCCAATAACTAATTACTTGGTAAATTTTTAAGGCTTATTGGATAACATAAAATTAAGCTGGTGCCATCTTTTGATGGGCGTTGTGAGGGTGCTATAACCTTCCTCACACGTAACCGAACTCCCAAACTCTGTTCTGGTTAGTAGACCCGAACCTATTCTTTTAAGGACCCTTAAACTTAGGTGTTTCCTGAAAGGATAGATTCCTTAGGTGGCTAATCGCACCTAGATAAAAAAGATTGGTAACGACTCCCTTAAGTCAATGTCTAGCGATAGATCCCTGGATCTAGACGTTATGACATAGAGTTAATATAATATTTAGAATTGATACACAATAACGATCAAGGAAAAACTTTTAATAAACAAATTTATATACCTTACTAGGATGTTTTGTTTTTGCACCATCAGCATTTGTGGGCTTTGTTCTCTTTTTTTGAGGCCTTGAAGTTCCATCAGTGGCCTATAGCAAGTAAAAATAATTAATAACAGCAAATG